GCGTGCCTGTAATCCCAGCTACTCAGGAGGCTGAGGCAGGAGAATTGCCTGAACCCAGGAGGTGGAGGTTGCAGTGAGCCGAGATCGCGCCATTGCACTCCAGCCTGGGTAACAAGAGCGAAACTCCGTCTCAAAAAAAAAAAAAAGAGTCAAATGTCTAAAATGAGCAAGTAATGATGGTACCCAGCCTTTCTGGATGCTTTCCAGATGTCTAAAGATGTTCTTGCCTTGGTCAGAGTCTTGTTCAGGTCTGGGGAGAGACTCTGATGAAGTCAAATGCATTGTTAGACAAAGACGTATCTGGAAAGCATGAGCAACCATAAAAAACTGTGGCTGTTTAGCACAGGGAAAAGTGGTGAGGAAGGACACATTCACTAAAATATGTAGAAAACAAACCAAATAGATTTTGCCTTGGTAAAGAACCCAGAATGAGAGCCAGTAGGTAAACACGACAGAGGTGTTTTTTTTTTTTTTTGGCTGTTTTTTTTTTTGAGACAGTCTCAGTCTGTCACCAGGGCTGGAGTGCAGTGGCAAAATCTTGGCTCACGGTAGCCTCAATCTTCCAGGCTCAAGTGATCCTCCAACCTCAGTCTCCTGAGCAGCTGGGACTATAAGCATGCTATCACACCTGGCAAATTTTTGTATTTTTGGTAGAGATGGGGTTTTGCCATGTTGCCCAGGCTGGTCTTGAATTCCTGGGCTTAAGCGATCTGCCCACCTTGACCTCCCAAAGTTCTTGGATTACAGATGTGAGCCACTGTGGCCAAACCACAGTTTTACAGATATTAAGTCCATACAAGGTTGGATGATCCTTTTTATCAGGAAAAATGTAGGCGGAATTCCTGCAAAGAGCAGGAAGTTGGATGAGATAATATCAATTACCCTTTTCATCTGCTTACCACTTAATTTTTTTTTTTTTTTGAGACGGAGTTTCGCTCTTGTTACCCAGGCTGGAGTGCAATGGCGCGACCTCAGCTCACCGCAACCTCCGCCTCCTGGGTTGAGGCAATTCTCCTGCCTCAGCCTCCCGAGTAGCCAGGACTACAGGCATGCGCCACCATACCCAGCTAATATTTTGTATTTTTAGTAGAGACGGGGTTTCACCGTGTTGACCAGGATGGTCTCGATCTCTTGACCTCGTGATCCACCCGCCTCGGCCTCCCAAAGTGCTGGGATTACAGGCGTGAGCCACCGCACCCGGCCTCACTTAATTGTTTACAAAGCACATTCTCATTTGATGCTTCTGATAATTAGGAAGTAGCAGAGAGTGTTTTACAGATGAGGAAAGCAGGGTGGGAAAGCACAGCCTTTAAGCTGGTTCTTTCCACCATATTACACTGACTTCTAAGAAGTCAATGATCTGTTAGTCCCTTCCCATTATGAAAGTCTATCATTCAAAAAGGACTCAGTTCCAGTGTTCCACAGAAGGTGCCAGAATATTCCCCAAGGGCCTCATGGCCTCATCTGGCTCCCGTGGATAGGCCTTGCTGGCCACAGCAGATTGTATACCCAAGACAAGAATCAGTCTATTTCCTTACTCCTCCCATGGAGCTCTATGTCTCAAGGTGGGTATGTGATACCAGTGACCAAATAAATAGCTCAGTTGAGATTACGACTAAAGCTGAAGTGGGAAGCACAGTGTGTGCTGGGGAAGTTACCATTCAGCAATGCTTCTGTGGATCCGGGACACTGAGGTCTCAATATCGATCGGATGGTATCGTAATCCTCTCAGCTCCAGCGTTTCATCCAGTGCTCCCACCACATACAATGCATCATGACGCTCTGACAGAAAGAAAGCGAAAAATGTGGCTTACACATATACTGAGTGCAACGTAACACTGGAGTCCAGAGCACAGGGGTCAGACTGCCTGTCACCTGGGTCTGCCCTTACCAGTGTAACTCTGGGCAAATTCCTTAAGGCTGTGAATCCTGCTGCCCCTCTGTGGGATAATAATCATTGACTGCTGTGAGGATTTATTAGGTTAATCCATTCATGGTAGTTAATATGGTATGTGGTGCACTATAAATGATACCAGAAATTAGCTATTATTATTAATTAATTTATTTATTTATTTTTGAGACAAAGTCTCACTCTTGTCACCCAGGCTGGAGTGCAATGGTGTAATCTCGGCTCACTGCAACCGCCGCCTCCTGGATTCAAGTGATTCTCCTGCCTCAGTCTCCTGAGTAGATGGGATTTACAGGTGCCTGCCACCACACCCAGCTAATTTTTATATTTTTAGTAGAGAGGGGGTTTCACCATGTTGGCCAAGCTGGTCTCGAACTCCTGACCTCAGGTCATCTCCCTGCCTTGGCCTCCCAAACTGCTGGGATTACAGGCGTGAGCCACTGTACCCAGCTAGCTATTATTATTATTGTTTTTATTATTACTACATGTTAGGAACTGTGTTACACGCTGGGGAGACAAAGCTGACAAAACCCAATTCCTGCTCTGAAGGTCCTTACAGTTGAGGCAGCGGAAAAGATACACCAAGAGACATTCCATTCTAATGTAGCAAGCCCACCAACAGGAGTGTGTATGAGGTTCGGAGGGGCAGAGGACATCCACTGAGTCTAGCTCCTAGTTCAGAGAAGGCTACTGGAAAAGCTGAGGGCAGAGCTGAGCCCTTGAGGACAAACAGGCTCAGCCAGAGGAAAGAGAGGGGAAGAGGAAAGAGAGGAGTTGAGAAGGAGAGGAGATGAGCAAGTGTCATTCTTTCTAGGTAGCTTCATGGAATACAGATATTAGGAGAAGGGTTGTAGAATGGGGGGAGAGTAGTCCTGGTTTCTAACAGGCTTGTCATCTAGCTAGGACACAGAAGGAAGATGATTTGCAATAATTTCTGGAAAAACACAGACTTCTGAAAAACTGAGCAAAACAAAGTGACTGAAGCTGTTGGAGTAAAAAAGATCAGGAGGTCCAGCAGAGGCTCCCATCACCTGGTGAGCTCACGAAGACTGATGACAAAAACAACAGAAGCATAGCTGTGAATGACTAATGGGTGCTTCCTGTGTGCCAGGCACCGTTCTAGGCATCTAAATGCATCACATCCTTTAATCTCACATCATTTCCATGAGGCAAGAAACAGTCATCTCCATTTTCTAGGTAGGAAACAGGCTAAGTGATTGCTTAAGGTCACCCAGCAAATGGCAGAGGTGGGCTGTAATACCAGGGTACCAGGCAGGGATGCCACCCTCTGCTCCAATGGGTTGCCCCTGCCTCTCCATGAAATCTGGGGAACTATGGACACTGGTCAGTATGAAACTATGGAGAATTTAGGGCTTTAAAATCCAGCAAGTTATATACCTATCACTTCTTCAAGCACAGGATACAGTCAGTGTTGTGTATTTTTAAATGGCTATCAGTGCCAGTTCAGGAAGAAAAGGTGACAGGCAGCAGTGAAGCTGTGACCATCAACTGGGCAGAGGATGACAGGAGGGAATCCTCACATCAGAGGCCTGACCAGAAAGCAGGCTGTGCCCAATGCGAGACACCAGGGGGCTGCCATGCCTCAGCAAGATGGCTCCTCAGAACTGACGCCCCTCTCAAGGAATAGGGCTGTTCCTCCTGCTCCCCAAGTGGTATGCAGGGTAGAAGAGCTAAAAGATGTAATGCTTGTTCGGGGCGTGGAATCAGCCCCACAGGGACTGAAAGTTTGTGTTTGGCCAGGGATGCTCACTCGCCATCAGGCCCATCTCTTTGACTCACAGCTCAGGATGCTCCTGGACTAGCCCCAAGTGCTCACCTCCCAGACACTCTTCATGGGGCAAAGCATGACTCCAAATGAATAGAGAGTCACTTATGGGTTCAAGAGTCACAGAAGGAAGTAAATACACACACTCTACAGTCTAAGAAAAGCTGAAGGAGGTCAGCTAGTGCTATAGAAACACAAAGCAGGCCCAACAGGGAGGAGCTGCTGCAGAAGTACCTCCAGTGGCCGCTGTGAGCTCGGTCCGGCGGACGAAACCAAGGTATCCTGTCCGAGCCCAGAGGGTCTGAGCAGCATCTCCAAAGCTGAGGCGAGTGTTGAAATGATCAGCTTGAAGAGTCTCACTATCATAGATGGTATAGTAGCCGCTGGCTGTATGGGGACTGTTCACCCAAATCTACAAGAAAAGGGCTTTGGTCACAACTCACTGGGAACACACAACTGTATTAATTCTCTTGGATCAGGTTATTTTGATTTTTTAAATCTCATTTTTATATGAAAAACAACTGCATTAATAAAAGCAGCTAACATTTACCAGGTGCTCACCGTGTACCTCATCTCCATCCAACCCTATACATATGACAACACAGATCATACAATGTTGTTCCCATTTTACAGATGAAAAAACAAGGAGTTAACTACTTCACCTAAGATGCAGAAATGAGGAGACTCATACCCATGCCTGTGTGGCTCTGGTGGCCGTGCTCCCACCCACAGGCTACCCTGTCTCCCTGGCTCATTTCTCACCCTCCTCCAGAGTTCCATGAACACATCAGGGATCATTTCTGTGCTTCCAGGATAACTATGGAAGCCCACAGGGAAACACCATGGGGTGTTTGAGTTTATAATATAAACAGAGCAATAATTAACAATATTACTGGGAATCATTATGTGACAGACACTGTTCTGTGTACATTACAGATGCAGGTATTAATACATTTAATTGTTATAATGATTTTAACTCAGGAGGTGAGGTAGGTACTACTACTACTATTATTATTTTAACTTAAAAAAATTTTTAAATAGGCTGGGTGTGGTGGTTTATGCTTGTAATCCCAGCACTTTAGGAGGCTGAGGTGGGTGGATCACTTAAGGCCAGGAGTTCAACACCAGCCTGGCCAACATGGTGAAACCCCATTTCTGCTAAAAATATAAAATTAGCCAGGTGTGGTGGTGCATGCCTGTGATTCTACCTACTCAGGAGGCGGAGGCAGGAGAATCACTTGAACTAGGGGGATGGAGGTTAAAGGGAGCCAAGATGGGCTCAGAGCAAGGCTCTGTCTCAGAAAAAAAAAAAAAATTTTTTTAAAGTAGAGATGGGAGGCCGGGCGCGGTGGCTCACGCCTGTAATCCCAGCACTTTGGGAGGCCGAGGCGGGCGGATCACCTGAGGTCAGGAGTTTGAGACCAGCCTGGCCAACACGGTGAAACCCCGTCTCTAAAAAAAAAAAAAAAAAGTAGAGATGGGGTCTTTGCTGTGTTGCCCAGCTGGCCTCAAACTTCTGGTCTCAAAGTGGAGTGGCTTCAAACTCCTCCTTCAGCCACCCAAAGTGCTAGGATTACAGACATGGGCCACTGCACTTGGCCAGTGCTATTATTATTTATGAATGAGGAAACTGAGGCCCCAAGAGATTAACCTGTCTAATATTGAGAAGCTCATACGTGACAGAGCCCAGGTCATCTGGCTCCTGTACCTACAGTATTCCTCCCATTCAGCTATGTGATGAAATATCAGCATCCTTCAAAGATTTTGGGGGGCTGGGTGTGGGGACTCACGCCTGTAATCCTAGCATTTTGGGAGGCTGAGGCAAGTGGATCACGTGAGCTCAAGAGTTTGAGACCAGCCTGGGCAACATAGTGAAATACTGTCTCTACTAAAAATATAAAAAGTTAGCTGGGAATGGTGGCATGTGCCTGTAGTCCCAGGTACTTGGGAGGCTTAGGCACAAGAATCACTTGAACTCGGGAGACAGAGGTTGCAGTAAGCCCAGTCTGGGCGACAGAGTGAGACTCTGTCTCAAAAAAAAATAAACAAAAACAAAGATTTAGGGGAAGAAAATTAACTATTTCACATAGTTAATTTTTATATCCTTATATATAAATAACATATATTTATATATAATTTTGTTGTTGTTGTTGTTAAAGGGCTGGGCCTGGATTTTTTTTGTTAATGCAAATATAAATATATTTTAGAATACAATATAACATTTGAATGACCTTAAAAATTTTTTAATATGTGACTCCTTTCAGTTTCATACCTTAATAGGTGGGAACATGTAGGATTGCTCACTTTCCTTTCTAGCTAAGGGCATGTCAGTGGACAAATGTGACATGACTTCCAGTTTGAGTGCATAAATCTTCCCTTGATCCCAGTTTCAATCTCCCTCTTCTATTTCAGTCTCATGCTTTACAGGAAAAAAAATAACTCTATTCACAACGGGGGAAAGCTAAATCCACAGTTTTACTGATTTATAAAATGTGAACCCTAGAGTTTTTTACCGCTGACTTTTCAGAGTAAAAATGAAAATTATTACAAACCTCTCCAAGGTGAGAGTCTCCAACTGGCCCTTTGGTCTCAGGATTAACAATGACCACTTTCACTCCAGGTAAAATCTAAGCATCAAAGGGAAAATACAAAGATTGGGTTCAGTGAAATCCAGTGACCTCCAGAAAATACACAGTTAACTGCTGGAGAGGTGGGAGAGGCACACAGGGCAGAAGCCAGCTGTAACAGCATCACAGCAGCTACCGAGGGGACAATAGCAAAGACTTTCTGTCTTGCTCTTATTGAGTCTTCCTCAGTTCATTGAAGACCAAAGGTCTAATAAAACTCAGCCTCAAAAATAAAACAGGGAACCAGTCTGCCATCTCTTCAAAGGGATGAGAAACTGTAGATCAGGACTTTAACAGTAGAATTTGTAGAATAACCTTCCCCTTTTCATGCTCTTTCTCATTCACTGGAATGATGGCAGTAAAACCCCTTAAAACAGAAAGGGCAGAAGGCAGGGAAAGCCTGAGTGACTCCACTCCAGACTTCAGTTAGTGCTAGAGTTGGAGCAATGTGAAGAGTGAGAGAGGACGGTGGCAGCTTTGCAGGATAGAAGGATATCCACGACTCCAGGATCTTCCTCAGGAAGGAAAAGGAAGACACAAATGCTGGCTGAGGGAATGCCTCAGCCATTCTAGCCAAAAAATGGCCTCTCTGGTTACCCACATTCTTCCCCCTTTGAACTCCCTTTTTATCTTGGGTTTCTAAAGTATGAGGTTACTTTAGAAGCCCTCAGTAATTATCTGGGCGCAAACATCTAAAACCTCAAGGAAGAGACGAGGCTGGGCACAGGCTAATGCTCGTGAGTTGTGCTTGGCTGCTGAGGCAAGTGAAGATGTGACAAGGCAGTGACAAAATCAGCCAAACCCCCCTGGCACATGCAAGCGACGAGTGAGAATGGAATAAGCGCCTGATGGGGTGATATACACCACTAGATAGGTTTTGCAGGGATTCTTTTTTTCCTTCACAGTTTTTTCTCGGCCCTTCAGAATTACTAGAAGGGATTCTGAGGCATCATCACTATCTCATCAAAGGGCAGAGAAACTCCCACCTGTCTTGACAATGCATGTGGGTGTCTTATCTTTAGCAAATTGTTTCTCACTAAATCTCTCTTTTAGAGGCTCATTCTAATCTAAGAAATGTTACTCCCACAGAATTCTCTCAAATATCTTTAATCTCATCCCCATTCTGATTTTCCTTTCAACTTTAAATGTGTGTGTATCTTCCCAGACCTTAAGCCACACTCTCATCTCGGCCTCTCCTAGCTTTCCCCTTGGGATGTTTATAAAATAGAACCAGGCTGGGCACAGTGGCTCATGCCTATAATCCCAGCACTTTGGGAGGCTGAGGCAGGCAGATCACCCGAGGTCAGGAGTTCAAGACCAGCCCAATCAACATGGTGTGAAACCAAATCTTTACCAAAAATACAAAAATTAGCCGGGCATGGTGGCAGTTGCCTGTAACTCCAGCCACTCGGGAGGCTAAGACAAGAGAATCACTTGAACCCGGGAGGCAGAGGTTGCAGGGAGCTGAGATTGCGCCACTGTGCTCTAGCCTGGGTGGCAGAGTGAGACTCTGTTTAAAAAAAAGACAGTGCTGCTGAGCAGTCTAAAAAAAAAGAACCAGCTCTTCTATCCACCTTTCATACAAGGAGCACTGCATTTTGCTAGTCAGTCAATAAGAATAACATGTCAGTTGGATTTTTAAAAAAATCTATGGAAATTAAGAGAGTTCAAATTTACTATTCTTATCTATGTACCTATATGAATTTGAAAGTATTAGCCAAGCTGAAATTATCTCCAAATTTCAATTAAGGCTTGCCCTGGGCACTAATACGGCTTCCAGTTTCCTTAAAATGAACCACATCTCCAATCCACACAGCCTACCTTCCCATGGTCAACAGAACAATTTACCTTTCCAGACTCTGAGAGGAGCAAACTCTGGGGGGCGCCACGTTCCACAAGACGAACCCTGCAGAAGAACGGTATTTACTGTATATAGGGCTTTTAAGAAGAGAAGTCACCACGTTCCTGATGCTCAGTGCTGCCTTCCCAGGACCTCTAACTTGTCTGTCTTCCTCACACCACAGCAGGGTTTCTCAAACTCAGCACTACTATTTTGGCCAGATAATTTTTTATTGAAAGGGGCTATCCTGTGCATTGTAGAACGTTTAGCAACACCTTTGGCCTCTGCCCACTAGATGTCAGTAGCAAGCCCCTTTTATGACAACCCAAAAACGTTTCCAGACATTGTCAAATGTCCTCCAGGGGCGGCAAATTCTTCCTAGGTTTCAAACTGCTGCATGAGAGAAATGCTCTACCTAGGCAGGGCAGGTCAGTGCAGTGGGGCACTCCAGATAACACAATCCAGGGCAGTGGGACTTGAAGAGGTCTCAGAGCCCTGGGCCAGTGCTCAGCTCAGGACCCAGCTAAAATTCCCTTTTGGGCTGAGGAAGCAAGATTTTTTTTCACACCTGGGGCTCAGATAAAGTGTTGTTTCAAAAACCCTATGCTGCTCATTTATCTTATCTGTCCTATCTTTTATTTTTAAACTCTTAGAGGAAAGAGACAGTCCATTTTAGTTTAATTTATATCAAATGTCACAAAATACTTTTATATGGGTAAGTAACTAAGTATTATACTTTAATATTAAAGAACAGTGTAGCAACGGAGAAAATTAAAGCTTTCTTACAAATGTGAATCTTATGTATTAATGATAAAAACAAATTCCATCTCTCTTCCCAATCCCCTCCTAGAAGATACGAACAAAAGGAATGAGGAAAAATGCTGGCTCTGACGTTCAGAATTTTTTTTTTTTTTTTTTTTTTTTTTTTAAGATGGAGTTTCACCATGTTGGTCCAGCTGGTCTTGAACTCCCGACCTCAGGTGATCTGCCCGCCTTGGCCTCCAAAGTGCTTGGATTACAGGCGTGAGCCACCACGCCCGGCCCGAGGTTCAGAATTTTTTATGCTTAGGAACTAGTAGGGAAGGAGCATAATAAATCTGCTGTACCTGTCATGTCTTAGCGATTTCAGATCCACATACACAGTAGTTGGATCAGGCCCTGAGGTTCCCTAAAGAAAGACAAATCAATGCATTGTTTAGAATTTCGATAAACTGTATTTCACATTTCAAACCAAGAAATAATTTAGCCATATACATGAACAATCCACACTCTTTTCACCTCTCCTCCCTTTGGAGAGTAGGCCCCCTGCTCTCCCTCTTATCACGGACACTATGGCAGCACTGAAACGCTTCCATGCTGAGGAGGGCTTTCATCCCTGGATTCAAAGCAGAAGTGAGACAAGTTGGCAACTCAGGGCCTTTCAAAACCAACACTGGCGACTGTGACAGCAAGAGGCCTATGATGGGACTCAAGATTAAACCATCAAGACCCTTCTGAAAGAAGAAGGTCTCAGAAGACCTGAAATAATCCACCCATGTGTGCTATCTTTTTTAACTCATTGTTGTCCAGGTCTATTATTTGCCTTATTTTTTTAAGAGACAGGGTCTCAATCTGTTGCTCAGGCTGCTAGAGTGCAGCAGTGCAATCATATCTCACTGCAGCCTCAACCTCCTAGGCTCAAGCAATCCCCCTGCCTCAGACTTCCAGGTAGCTGGGACCAGAGGCATACACTACACCCAGCTATTTTTTTGTGGGGGATGGGGGTAGAGATGAGGTCTCACTACGTTGCCCAGGCTGGTCTCAAACTTCAGGGCTCAAGCAATCCTCCTGCCTTGGCCTCCCAAAGTGTTGTGATTATAGGCATGAACCACCATACCTGGCCCCATATTTGCCTTATTAGCTAAATTAATACATAAAATTGTCTCAGTTCTAATCCCTCTTCTGTTATTTACCCATCAAGAATAACATGACAAAGTTGCCATCTGGGTGGAGAAGAGAATACAAGCTTATTGACTGAAAAAANCTTCTAAAAATCTAAGGCTCTTCAGCAATATATTTTTATCCCTCCTCATTTCTGTACCTTAGATGTCCCCTATCTGATGGGACTGAGAGAAAAATTAATCCAGAACTATGGCGACCTCATCTCTTCTCTCCTTTTGCTTCCAAAGGTCATATTTTTCTAGCAAAGAAAATTCAGGATTTTCTGACTTTCTCATATGCCAGTCAGACAGATCGTCATTTGACACACACATGAATGAGCTACCTTTATCTTTGGGAATACTCCAAATTCCTAATATTCTGAGGTTTCAAATTCTATTACAAAAAAGAAAAAAGTACTGGAAGCCACAGTTCCCTTTTATCTTTACATAGTCTTTCCAGTTAGCCTCCCAGCCAGTTTCTCCTTCTTGTTCACAAAGTAAGAATCATGTTAAACTGTGGAAGATGGAAGAGTACACTAAATTAGGAAGGTGGAAGAGATAAACTCGCCAATGTTTACAACACACCCTTTAACTGAGTGGCTTGAAAAAGGCAAGCAAACATGTCTGCTAGCCCCTACTCTGGCCCTATTACGTCCTGCCCCATTTCTTCAAAACCTTTTGGGACTGGCCAGCTGCTGGAGCTGCTTCTTACCTTTAGCACTTCCACTTGGTTGCCAAGACCTTTGGTGCAGAGCTCCATCACTGAATAGGAGCAGAAAGTGTCCCTTATTTTGTACTGGTTGACCGTGGCGAGCCAGAGGAAAAGGTTGTTCTCTAACTCCATAGGAGGAATTAAGACAGACTGGTGGCCTGAATACACACTGCAGCAAAAAAGGCAAGAGCTGGAATCATCAATTCATCCTTGACACCCGAAGCTTCAGAACCTCACCAATTGAACAGACATTTACTGAGTGTGAGGACCGTGTAGGGTCATATGAGATATAAAGGTATAAGAATTAGTCTTGTTTCTATGCGACTTGCAAGAGGAGCAACTATGAAATGAAGCAGACTGTGACAGGTCACTTTCATCTACATAACATTCTTACAGCTGTCCTCAAGCTAATTAATATGGTTAAGATTATACTAAACATTCTGGAAAGGTAATTCCTAATAACTAATCTTTTTTTTTTTTTTTTCATTTTCTATTCCTTTTCCAGAATCACCCGCTGCAGACCTAATAACTAATCTTTAAAACCCTAAAGGGGTAGCATTTTTTTTCTTTCTCCTTAAGTGTGGACTGAATTTTATTTCTATAGTTTATTTTAAGATGTTTATGGACATTTTATTCATGCTCTGAATATGAGATATGAATCAAGAGCATTGAGATCACATACTAAAGAGCAATTCATTCACACTGGAAAAGCCAGGGCAGGGGAGTAGTGGTGTGCTTCACCGAGTTAGCGACACTTGAGCTGGAGCTTGAATGAGTATGAATTTGACAGTGGCCGGAAGAAGTGGGGATGGTAGTGAGGGTATTCTAGCAAGAGGAACAACATATACAAAGGCCAATAAGTACAGCATGTTTGAAGCCATCAGAAATATTAATAGTATTCAAGTGGCCGGGCACAGACACTCGTGCCTGTAATCCTAGCACTTTGGGAGGGCATGATAGGATAATCGCTCGAGCCCAGAAGTTAAAGACCAGCCTGGGTAATAGAGTCAAACTCCTGCCTCTACAAAAAAAAATTAAATAAAAAAAATTAGCCAGGTGTGGTGGCATGTGCCTGTAATCCCAGCTACTCTGTAGACTGAGGTGAGAGAACCGCTTGAACCCAGGAGGTGGAGGTTGCAGTAAGCTGAGACTGCGCCACTACACTGCAGCTGGGGTGAGAGTGAGACTCTGTTTCAAAAAAAACAAAAAAGAAAAACATAAGAAGGTCAGATACAAGTAAAATCCAAATAGGACTCAAATCTTTGTGACTTATCATCATGACCACATGACGATGACTCGAGTAAACACTAACACTGTGCTCACTGCCAGCACTGCTCCGAGAGTACAGAGCTACCTAGGGAAGCAGAGTACTGCTACCTTCACCTTACAGACCAGCAAAATGAGACACAAAGAAATCGAGATAAAAAGCCCAAAGTAAGTAAGTGCAGCCAGGGCCCAAGCCCAGACAGCCTGGCTTCAAAGCCCATGCTCTGGGACACTCCACAGTCCTCTCCTGTTTGTGAGCAGACAAGATTTCATGAGGGTCACCTGTAAACATATTGCTACATTGACTCTTGATCCAAAAGTGGTGCTGACAGCCCGCGGGGACAGCCCGATGTCTTTGAAGAGCTTGGAGAAGGACTGCTGGAGTGCAACGCGGGGCCGCTCCTCTGCCACCACCACACAGGTCCGGACACAGGAGAGGTTGATCCCTCTGGTCTGCAAGACACCGTTGCATAAGACACCAATGGGAGCGAAGTCAGTAGGATCATAAAAGCACCGAACAGGCAGGGCCACTGTTCTAGCTCCTTGGTCAGGAAAAGCCAAGCAATTTTGTGTTCTCACCTCAGGCACACAGAGAAAGCAGCTTTCAGAAAAGAAGAAACGGCCAAGGCATCCCATTAAAATCACTATCTGCTGGTAAATTTTCTCATTCTCTAGTTATTTCCTTTT